GCATAAAGCAATCGACTCTGAGAATGGAAATGGGTCTCGTGTCCCAGGAGCCATCACTATTTGCGCGAACAATCGGTGAAAATATCGCGTATGGCGACAATAGACGAGAAGTTAGTATGACAGAAGTCGTCGAAGCTGCCAAAAAGGTGAACATTCATAATTTCATCTCGTCCTTGCCACTCGGATACGACACAGTACTTGGCGATAAGGGAACCCAACTTTCTGGAGGTCAGAAGCAAAGGGTGGCGATAGCGCGCGCCCTTATCAGGAATCCAAAAATACTTTTACTGGACGAGGCTACATCGGCACTAGACGCGGAAAGTGAAAAGGTCAGTTTACACGTTGCGAAAATTCAATTTGTTTACAGACTAATGTCATTTGGAATGCGCCAGTCTAATTGCGATTCTTGTAACCATGTCCTTTTGTACATTGACAGATTGTACAAGCAGCTATCGACGAAGTTAAGGAAGGCAGGACCTGTATCATGATAGCGCACAGATTATCTACTGTGCAGGACGCCGACAGGATATGTGTAATCGATGGTGGTGTTGTCGCAGAAAGTGGTACACACGCTGAACTTGTTAAGGAGAAAGGACTTTATTATAAGTTATTAAAGATGCAACACTAGTGTCAATTTTTCTTTCTTTTTTGATAAGCGAAATAACTGTGGAGCACGCTCTTAGGATGGCGGCACTTACATTTAAATAGGAAACAATATAACTGCTCCTATTATCACTTAATTACGACCGAATGGAACATGTGGGAAGTACTTTATGCATTCGTCATCCAAAAAGTGGGATGTGTGTGCGTGTGTGTGTGCATAATAAGTTTTATGGAGAAAATTTCCAGGAGATATGTTGTTCCAGCATTTCCAGTTTGATCAGCAACATAAATAAGAAATAAAAAGAGAGAGAACATTTTGAACTGTTAACATTGGTACTTCATTACAATGAAATGTAAATTTTAAGAAGTTTGTGTAGGGCAAATGAGAATTATTGGCCATCAAACTGAAACTGTCGATTCATGATTACCAGGCAAATTTTACTGACTAAAGATAATGACTAAAGATAAGATGTAAGGGCTATATATCGATTCCATACGTTAACTTTTAATGTATGATTGTACGAAGATCCTTGATAAGATAAATGGATCGAATTAGTTTCGTTATCAGAACGAGGTTTAAATATCTTGTTCAGGCGATAGCGTTTGCTAGTAAGTGAGGATCGGACACGAACGGCATCAAAATTGCTGTAAGAATGAAGAATTCACTCAATCTTAAGGTGAATATATCTAATATCCTGGATGCTTCATCGCAACCTCATGCGGAACCAGTGCAAATTACAAATTTTAAACATCAGGAATATGATGATGACGTCAGTGAAAATGGAAAACTGTAAGTGTTGTACAATATTGCGGTTTAAATTTAAAACATTTAACGGCAGTTAGAATACGTGTTAAAAGAATACTTTTTTTCAGTGAAACTACCAAGAATGAACCAGAGGTACCACCTCTCTCTTATTTGGAATTGGTAAGTTTCATTGTATAAGCGAGATTTAACGTAATGAAATATATACAATAAAGTGCGTCATATCAGAATAACAGTTTTTTTTATATTCCCACCTGAAAAACTTTTAGATCTGAATTAAAATAATTTTTGTATGAAAATTCACTCTTAAACGTCTGTCATCATTGAATTATTGACTTTACAAAAGAAACTTAAATGACAATTTTATAGAGAATTAAATTGTTCAAAACGACCCGTTGCGTATTAGCAGTGAGGGCTGACATCACACGAAATCTCAAATCATGTTTTATCTCGTGTCACATACTATATTTTTCATGATTACCTGTATTGAAACCAAGTTTCAGTGTCGGCAGCCAGTCGGAAACAAGTTAATTTTAGGCTAATGACGCGGGGAACTATTAACGTATGCGAAAATTGTAACTATTACACGGTTAGAACTTTCACTTATGAAAATCGAATAATTAAACTTTATTTATTTTTAGTACATTAAATGACGTATGTTGAGGAATATCACAAATGCAAATATTGTTGACTTTTACTATATAACGTCATTCTTATCTATTATAAAACTTATATTAAATCGACTGAATCGATCAACTAAATTTTAATTGATCTTCAAAATAAAATTATTACGAATTAAATGTTATATCTCTGAGTTTCTCACAACCTATTGATTTATGAATATAATAATTGTTATTATGATTCTATTAATATTTTTTTCAGTTCAAATATTCTACCTGCCTAGATAAAATAGTTATGTGCATCAGTCTTCTCTGTGCGGTTGGTTCTGGATTATGCACACCGGCAAATATATTAATATATGGAACACTGGTCGGAGATATGGTCTCCAGTGCGACAGAAGCTGCTATTGAATCAGGGATAAATGGTACAGAGTCAGCGACAATGAATATTTTGGATTCCGTAGAGACATTCGCCATTCTGAATTCACTTATCAGTGTTGCCATGTTGGTCTTCAGTTACATCAGTATAATGACATTAAAGTACACTGCTCAAAAACAAGCCTATCACGTACGATCGTTGTACCTGAATTCAGCGTTGCATCAGGACATAACTTGGTACGATTCGATGCGAAGTGGTGAAGTAGCAAGTAGATTGACAGAGTAAGGCAATTTAAGGTTTCCTTCTGGTCTTTTACCTTCCATGAAAAATTACACAAGATTCATTCGTCAATTTGATTTTCAGAGACGTAATGAAATTCGAGGAAGGAGTTGGCGACAAATTGTCAATGTTTGTTCACCACATGACAGCATTTATCGCATGCGTTGTGTTGGCATTTTTTAAAGGATGGAAACTCGCCCTTGTCTGTATAATATCACTGCCCGTTACATCATTGATCCTCATTGGAGTATTTCAGGTACGATATAAGATATGTTTGAAAATGTTTAAAGCAATGATCAAGTTGTAGTTGACTGAGACGTTTTGTCATTGTCAGGTTTTGCTGGATGGTCATGACTTGCGTGAATTAAATATTGCATGGTTCCGAAGTTACGTTGGTGTTGTTGGTCAGGAGCCGGTGCTGTTCGATACGACTATCGCAGAAAATATTCGGTATGGAAATCTGGGCGCAACTACGGAGGAAATTGTGACAGCCGCCAAAGAAGCCAATGCCCACGATTTCATAATGAAGTTACCATTTGTGGGTTTACGAATCGTCGCTTTCAATATTATATTGTGAATTACTGACATGATGCACATTTTATTAATTAATTTCTTTTACCAGAAATATGAGACAATGGTCGGCGAGAAAGGCGCGCAGTTATCTGGTGGTCAGAAACAAAGAATAGCCATCGCCAGAGCTTTGGTTAGAAAGCCGAAAATTTTACTTTTGGACGAAGCAACTTCCGCCCTTGATACGCGCAGTGAGGCCAAAGTGCAAGAGGCACTGGACAAGGTAATACACTTTAGACAAGGTAATGGTAGCAGTCGCAAAATATTCACAATTGAATTCCTTACCCTTGGAATTATGATTGATCCACAATAGGCAAGCAAAGGAAGAACTACTATTATCGTTGCGCACAGATTGAGCACCATTCGTGCAGCGGATCAAATTATTGTCTTGTCAGACGGAAAAGTCGTGGAGCAGGGTACTCATGATCAATTAATGATGAATCGTAGTCATTATCATTCACTAGTCATGACACAGGTAGGTCGGTACTATATGGACCTTAAGAAGAAGAAAGAGTTTTCTCTAATTCGATATAAATGGTTGATTGAATCATTCAGATTGTTAACCTCGGCGATGATAATAGTACACCAACACCGCAAATTCATAAAAATGAAGAAGTCGATGAAGACGAAAAGGAAATCGTCATTCTTTCCGAGGTATTTCTTTATTTAAAGGTTTTATTCATCCAATTCATTTCTTATTGCCATTTTTAATTACATTTCTTTACTTAAATTGCTTCAGGATCAGAAAGAGGTGGATGCCAGTAAAAACCAAACGGTTTCCATATACGACATTATACGTTTAAATTCTCCAGAATGGCCATTCATAGCTTTCGCATGTATAACATCCATAATTGTCGGTGCATCCACGCCACTTTTCGCAGTCCTGTTTGGAGACATTTTAGGAGTAAGTACTTCATAAGTTAGAATAGATGTTTCAAATCGAATAGAAATTAGAATAGAAGTTTAGAATTTTTAATAATATTGAATTACAGTAAAATGTTAATTTCATATTGCATTTATTAGGTCTTATCGCAAACGGATACGGACGCAATCCGAAGGGAAACAAATAAATATTGTCTGTATTTTTTCTTGGGAGGTATTATAATGGGCACATCAACATTCTGCCAGGTAGTTGTTAAGTTTATACCTTATTTTTGTTTAAGGGGGTTCTCTGGTTTGACGGTCTGATTTTTAATCATTTTTGGGGATTTTTTGTGAAGACCAATGAAGAGATAGAACTTTGGAATTTTAATCATTTATTTATAAGTGTTTCAAGAGAATACGTATAAATTTTTACCTAAAAATATTAATTAGAACAAAAGTTATAGCGCTCTGAGGACACCTGCCTCAAAAAAATGGACG